CTTTTAAAATGTAGGAGCTCTTTGATTTCTAAAAACTTAACGCGGGGCTGGAGGGATGACTTGGAACTTAAGAACCACTGGCTGCTCTTCCAAAGGACCAGGTTTGAGTCCTGGCACCCATATGGTGACTCACAACAGTCTGTAACTCTGGTCCCAAGTGATCCAACACTCTCTTCCAGCAATAAGAATGTGCATGGTTGCCGGGCGTTGGTGGCGCACGCCTTTAATCCCAGCACTCGGGAGGCAGAGGCAGGCGGATCTCTGTGAGTTCGAGGCCAGCCTGGTCTACAAAGTGAGTTCCAGGACAGCCTCCAAAGCCACAGAGAAACCCTGTCTCGAAAAACCAAAAAAAAAAGAATGTGCATGGTTCAGAGGCATACATGCAGACAAAACACCCATCTGTACAAAAATAAAAACAAAGAAAATAAAAAATATATCTAGCTCACATTCTAGTTTAATGTTTCTTCCTTTAATACTTTATGTTTATTTTATTTGCTTTAGTGTTTTGCCTGCACACATGTCTGTGTGAGGATGTGAGATCTTGGAGTTACAGATAGTTGTGAGTTACCATGTGGGTGCTGGGAATTGAATCTGGGTCCTCTGAAACAGCAGTCAGGGCTCTTAACCACTGAGTCATCTCTCCAGTCCCTAGTCTAATGTTTCTTGCTCATACTACAAGCATTGATGATATGTTAATCTCCTTCTTCAGTCTTCACTAAAGTGCTGAATACATCATTTTAATATTTTCCTTATTCTCGTTTCTTTCTCCATTTCCAATCCCTCACACACTAATGTACAAATTAACAGACCTTGGTTCTTTATGATGAGTAAAGTGCTAACAGCTTCAAGGAGGCCCTGTCTCCTACCCTTGTGTTAGTTGCTTTTCTCTTACTGTGATAAAATGTGATGGTCAAGGCATCTCATAGAAGGAAGGGTTTATTTGAGCCTATGGTTCCAGAGGAATAAGTGTCCATCATGGCAGAGAGGCACAACAGCAAGCAGCTGGCATGGCGGCTAGAGCAGAGTGCAGAGAACTCACACAGTGAGCCAGAAGGACAGAGCAGAGAGAATGAAGTGTGAGTATCTGCGACCTTAAGCTCACAAAGTCCATCACAGTGACATACTTTCTCCACCAAGGCTGTACCTCCTAAACCTCCCCCAAACAATGCCACCAACTGGGACCAAGTGTTCAAATGCCCAAGACTACGAGGGACATTTTCATTCGAACCACTACAGTCTTCACACTGGAAAAGAAGCAAACATAAATATAGTGTTCAAAAGTCAGGCTGGAGAAGTAGTTCAGTGGTTAAGAACATATACTGGTCTGCCAGTAGAGCCAGCATCACTTCCCAGCACCTACAACAGATCCCAAGCACCTTTGCCTGCAGTGGAATCCAATGCATCTGGCCTCAGTGGGCACAGGCACACTTGTAGGCACACAGAGAGAGAGAGAGAGAGAGAGAGAGAGACAGACAGACAGACAGACAGACAGACAGACAGAGACAGAGACAGAGACAGAGACAGAGAGAGACAGACAGACAGACAGACAGATAGACAGACACGCACACACACACTTTAAAATAATAAAGTTTCTTAAAATGTTTCATGAGCCGGGCGTTGGTGGCGCAAGCCTTTAATCCCTGCACTCGGGAGGCAGAGGCAGGCAGATCTCTGTGAGTTCGAGGCCGGGCTGTACCGACAGCCTCCGAAACAATACAGAGAGACCCTGTCTTGTAAAACCAAAAAAAAAAAAAAAAAGGTTCATGAAGTTATAGTCCACTGGAGACATGGTTATCCTGAAGATGCAGAAAGCAATAGGTTCCCTAAACATTTTCCTCAGTGTGGTCAAGGTATCCAGGCTTCTAGTAAAACACCTATGATCTTCTCAAGGCCTCGTGGCCCCAGCAAAACTAACTACAAGTTCCCTTTCATACTGCTTACTGCGTTGTGCTTCCAGTGGGCTCTATTTCCACAAGAGTCTGTATCAGTCAGTCCCATCTAATGTTTCTGGTAATCCATTTTAAAACAAAACCAAATACAAAGGACCCGAACAAAATAGAAATATGCGTTTTTCCTATAGAAAAGAAGCCCAGTGGGAAAGTTTAGAGGTCTAGACTAATGGTTAAGTAAAATGAAAAAAATGTTTGTATACTAAGCTGACACTTAAAATATGAATGTATATTTGCTACCAAAATGGAAATGTTCTAGGATACAGTTCCAAGCAGAAAAAAATAGGGTTGCATATGTAACATCATGAATTCAAAAACATTCTTTTTAACATTAACAGTATTTATCCAAGCACTGGGATTGTAATGGGCAATTTTACTCTCCACTTTCCCATGTGTTTTGCATGTTTTACAACAAGCATACAGTTTTTATATGATTATTGTGCAAAGAAAAAGACTTTGGAGGCTTGGGAGAAACTCAGCAGATAGAGCCTTCGCCACAAAAGCATGAGTTTGGATTCCCAGAACACATGAAAGCTAGGTAAATATGAGGTCTAGCTTGTAATACCAGGGGACTTGCACGAAGGATAAAGACAGGAGACACCCACAGTGAGATGCCTAGCCAAGCTAGGTGAATCAGGGAGCTCAGGGTTCAGCAAGAGACCCCGCCTCAATAGGCAAGGTGGAGAGGATCGAGGAAGACACCAGAGACACCAACCTCAGGCTTCTACGGGCATCGGTGTGCACATGGACACCCTCACACATAGATATCCAAAGAAAATTGAAAAAGACCCTGAGAAACCATCTTCAATAATTCAAAAGAAGACCAATCCTGTAAAACTTCCAGTCAGACTTCAACCCTTGGGTTTTGTAAGTTGCCCAGTAGACATCATCTCCATAGCAATAATAACATGAAGTGCCGTGATTACTAGTCTCCAGTAACACTGAGCAAAACAGTAATGAAGACAGTGGTTCCTTTCGGATTTTAAACCCAGCCAATTTGAGTTGTGCATCAGCTCTGTTGTCTGGGAATTTTTTTTTTTTTTGGTTTTTCGAGACAGGGTTTCTCTGTGGCTTTGGAGGCTGTCCTGGAACTAGCTCTTGTAGACCAGGCTGGCTTCGAACTCACAGAGATCCGCCTGCCTCTGCCTCCCAAGTGCTGGGATTAAAGGCGTGAGCCACCAACGCCCGGCTTTGTCTGGGAATTTTTAATGTGACACCTGTAGGAAACAGAGCAGGCCTCACTGAAGGCCTCCTGCATGCTATGCACACACATATATCTGAATTGCAGCCATTGATTAGTGCAAGTAGTCCTTGTCCTGTTTTTGTTCTGTCTGGTGTAATCACACTCCAGACTTTTCTGCTGGAAGATAAATAGAATGTTTGAACTCAAAGTCTGCCTTTCCCACCTGTGTGACAGGAAGTCCTTGGCCTCATTGCTTTTCTCTCTAAAATGGACAGAATAATGACTACAGTGTCAAAGGACACTGAAAAGAAAATGAAATCACTGATAGAAGTCATGTTGCCAGGTTGAAAGCAGCATGCATGATACAGGGCACACAGACTTATCTCCAAATCACAAGCCTATGCAGCTGGGGTGTGTTTCCCAGGCAGACGCTGTCTATCATCTTTGGTCCTGCCCACAACACCTGTAGCCACAATGACCTAACATGTTGGTTGCTACTTCAAACGGCAGCAGAGAAAAGCAGGTGTTAGAAGGAAGAATAAGGAATTGCCACCACAAAGATGCATTGCGACAAAGGCAGCCAGAATGTTATCATGTTCTTGGACGCTGTGAGTGAGCTTTAATTTGTCCCATAAACTTAGTATACTGGAGGACTTTTCAAAATAGACTGTGATTTTCTTGAAATGTTAGTTTATAGATTCCACTAATTCCAAACATCTATAAACTAGCTATTTTAAACTTTTCACAGACAGGGGGAAAACCACAATAAGTAAAAACAAATGAGCTGGGCATGGAGTTTGCATGCTTTTAATTCCAGCACTCAGAAGGCAGAGGCAAGTGGATCTCTGTGAGTTCAAGATCAGCCTAGTCTGCATAGTTCGAGGCCAGCCAGGGCTACTTAGTGAGACCCTATCTCAAGAAGAAAAAAACAAAAAAACCTGAATAACTCTTATTCAATTAGAGCAAAAAGATAGCCTTTGCTTGGAGAAATGGTCACTCTGAACACACATTCACACACACAGATGCAAACACACACACACACACACACACACACACACACAGAGAAAGAGAGAGAGAGAGTAGGGGGAGGACAAGGCAGCGGCGGGGGAGGAGGGTTATATCGTTCCCTTTGAAATGGCATCTGTCTTAACCTCTGTCTTCACAGGTGGAGGGAATTTGGGGTAGAATGCTGTAGGTTCATTAGTCCCACTCATTTTTTCTGAACTAGCTTGAATTACACTGTGCCAGAGGCCCACTGGGGACTCCTCCTTGCTTGGGTTTCTGGCCAGCACCTGGATCAGCTCGGATTGCCTTGGAGACCGGCCCTTCACACTGAAAAGGCGGCTGACATTGATTGACTCTTACAGTTTGTGTGACTTGTGGTTTCTCTCACCATGTAGATAGATGAGTTTCCCATTTCTGTTTCATTCTGAAGGGATTTGGTGGAACTTACCACAATAAGCTTTGTATAATACCCTTTGTCTGTGCGGATTTGTTTCCCAACACTTTAAGCTTCTTTAAACACCCCCAAGTGCCATTTGTGAGATTTGTTTACTGTGGGATATGCTTTTGTGTCTTTGTTAGGGACTCCATTGGCAATGGCTTTTGGAACACTCACTCCACTACCCCCAGGAAGCACCTGCTCTGGGCTTCCACCATGACCCTGAGACTACCTCCCATCTCTGCATCTCAATATTCCCATCTCTAAAGTATTTCAGACTTTAAATATGCCATTGGGCTATCGATATCCAGTTTACTGAAAACTTTCAGTGAATTTTGTATACATAAACATACATGCTTAAAGCAGCATTTTGCTTGGTTAACATTGTGATGATACTAATCATTAATGGTTTCCTTTTTGCTTTTAGTTCTGTCAGTACTGTGTCCCACTCGGATGAGCCCAGCCAGCGTGATGAGACCTCTCGCCTTACAGTTCGCGTGGAAAACACCTACCAGTTAGGTGTGCTACCAATAAGCAAAACTTCTAATTCGATGACCTGTGCTGATTTAACTATAGCCTGATATTGTCCTCAGTCTTAGATAGGTGACATTAATTTCAGAGAGTTGGTGGTAAGTTAGAGTTATGGTCTTGCTTTGCAAAACTGAAGCAACACTTATTTCCCTTTTAAAAAAAAAGAATCAAAAACAAAGCAAAACAAAAAAAAACAGGGTTTCCTAAATCTCAAATGAATCTCTGAATGCCACAAATGTGTACGATATAAGAATATATGATAGCATTCAGAGTCACTGGGTATTTCTGCATGAATATACATATGTGTGAAAGATTTTTATTGATTTTTAATCCTTCAAACCCAACCAATGTTGTTGATGGGGGGAGGAATGCCTCAGTGCAGAGGCAGGTGACTGTGGTCCCCTGTTGACAGAGATGTTTATCTATTGCCATTGAGGTTTTGGGTCTTTGAAAACAAAATTTTCACACCTGCCCTTATGCTCCCAGGTGGAGTCCAGAGACAAATACCTTTTCCCATCCTCATTTCTTCACAGACCTACTTGTTTTCCTTAAGTGCGTGCCTGCCTATGATTATCTGAATTCATATATAATTGCTGCCCTACACAAATTCCATAGAGACTTACCAAAGAGCAAAGAAGGACTCTGTGGGCCAGGGTAATTCCACCTGTGGCCTGTTAGCCCCAGGAAAATTATAATCCATCACCCTACCCTGCTAGGCCTTATAGCCAGTTTTCTCCAATAATTCCAATACTATTGGCGTAAGAAACACGACTTCCCCTTCCATCCCTCTCATGGGCCACATTCTCAGTTCATTTGGAAGAGCTGTAATGACTTAACTAAAAGGAGGACTACACACTGTAACCTTAGACATATTTACACAGTGTGAATATTATGCCCTACTCTAATATCACAGGCTCCAGCATTCGTCTTGTAGCATTTTACACTGCTAGTGGTAGACAGTGAATATTCCTACCATCCAGCTTGCTTTAGTGGTGTACCTAAGTCCAGGTGCTGGTCCTTATCCCTTTCAGTCAGCAAGCTGAGTTTGGGTCAAGTTTTCTCCAACTTGCAACCAAGGTTCTTATCTTTTTTGTTTTGGTTGGGGGAGTTGTCTATTTTTCAAGACAGGTTTTCTCTGTGTAGCCCTGGATGTCATGGAACTTGCTCTATAGACCAGGCTGGCCTTGAACTCAGAGATCCACATCTTAGCCTCTTGAGTGTTGGGATGAATGTTGTGGGCCACCACTGCCTAGCTTATCAACCAAAGGTTCTTTCTTCATTGGCAAGCTATGACTTTCAGTCAAGTGTGCTGAAGAAAGGTCTGGAATCCCATTGCACGAAGATAAAGCAATTTAAATGCAAATGCATATGTTTCTTAGATTTTTTTAAACAGTTTTTTCAAGCAAACAAAAGTTTCAGAAGCGCTGACCAACCTTCTGATAAAGGTGACTGACTGTTACCCTCATCCCCCACTCTCCTGGCCAGAACTACATCAAGTTGACATATGAAAATCTTTACCAGAGGCCCATGAACACCTTTCACAGGCAAATAAACCCAAAAGCAAGTAGAATTGGAAATACATTTTAGTTGTTAGTAGAGCTGACTGACTGCCTGGCAAAGCAGGCTTAATCTAGCACAAAAGACTTTCATCATTGAGGCTAGAGGGATGGTTCAGTGGCTAAGAGCTCACCACCACCACAATCAGCACATCATAAGTTACAGTGTGTTTGTCCTCCTATCAAAATGATTACAGCTACCATAAATAAAGCGAAACATGAATATAGTTCATGAGGGGAAAAAAAGAGTAGGAAAGGGAAACGGTGTTTCTAAGACAAAGCACCACTTACGTTGGTTCACTAACCACAGAGAGGAGAGAGTGGAAGAAAATAGCAGGCTGTGGCACCCCATCTGAGCGTGAATGCTACCTTCAATGGTACCCAGGAAGGTGATATTTAAGCAAAGCATCCTGGAACCTTGGCTTCTTTGTGTGTAAATAACATGATGGACTGCAGATTGTAGGCATGCTGTGAGAATCAGTGCAGTGCTGTATGTACATTGCTTCCCATTCACTGTAACTGCTGCTAAACTGAACAGGCTAAGACCTTCCCAGCAATCACTAAACATGAGGGCTTCTTGTCTTAATTCAATATGACTTTCATAAATTATGGACTAGGTTTTGCACCCAGATTTTTCTGGAGCTCAGGTTAAAATTAGGTAGCAATTTTTTTAAGATGGTGAGTATGAACAACACATGGAAGAAAACAATATAAGGAAGAAAAGATTTGTTTTGGTTCATGGTTTAAGGATCCAGTTCTTGATGAGGAAGGCATGGCTGTAGGGGGCTGCTTGCTCACATCTGGTCAGATCAGGTAGAAAAGGAGATAAATACGTGTACCTTGGTGGCTTTTTACTTTTCCCCTCTTTATTAAGTTTGGGACAGTAGCCAGTGGGATGGTGTCATCCATTCAGATTAAGTCTTCTTTCCTCTGGTCAACTTCTCTGGAAATGCCTAGAGATGTGCTTACCAGGTGAGCCCAAACCCAGGAAAGTTGGCAATGAAGAATACCCACCATAGTAGCCAACTTTGCCACCGCACAGACAGACAGTAAATGAAGCCAATATGATGGAAAATATTGATTAGTAAGGGAAGGAGGAAGATGGTGAGAATGAGGGACAAAGGGAGGAAAGAAGGAAGGAAGAGAAGGAGGGAGACAGAGAGAGGGAAAGAAACACTCTTGGGCTCAGTTTCTGTGAGGTTCTCAAGCTCTGTCTCTGGCATGAAGTTTTCTTTTCTGGAACTCATTGGTCCCTCAGGGTCCTTCCTGTGCAGGGCCACTGAGTGTCCTACTTAGATCCTCTGCCATCTTGCAGCCTTCACACCCTGGCAAATCCTCTTCTACCCCTTCCTTTGGGAGACAACAACCTGAACCACTACCTAAGGAGTGCTTTATGACTTGGCTCTAATTATTCATTATATGTTTCATCTCCTTAAATGCTAGCACAAAGTAATGTAAAGTTACTCTTTCTTGCTTTTGCCTTGGCCTCAGAGAGCTCCAGCTGTCCTCAAAGGCACTACATTGCCAAATACAGCTCGGAGACCTGATCTTCTAGCCTGCACCTCCCAAGTACGGGATGACAGGCTTATGCCACCAGGCCAGACTTCGAGTAATTCTTGTTATCCCACTTGGGGGAAGTTGTGGCACATTTTGTTGCTTTCACTATTCTCTCTTTAATCTAGTTTTTGGTTTGTTTGGGTTTTTTTAAGTTTTGTTCTCATTTTTCAGATCTTTTGAATTCTGAAACGTTTTCTTCCTTAGGGGGAAAATGTCTCAAAATGAAGAGGAACGGGTTTGTTGATTGCATTCATTGTCGCTGGAAGTAGCTTCAGGAGCCTGCCTAGCCTGTATCCATCTCTTTGGATGTCAGTGGCTCAATTTGAGTTCGGCGACAGGTGGTTCTGGATGTGTAGGGGAAAGACCACTAGGATACAAAGAATGAGTTTTCATTACTATAGTGAAAAATAGTTTTAAAGATAGAATCGTGTTTGTGAGCTAAAAGGATATGCAGTGTTCAGAAAGACTTGGTAGAGCAGGCCCTGGGAGCTACTAGGAACCGAGGCCCAAGCATCCCAGATGCTCTTGCTTTGGCTGATGTAGGCGACTTCCTTCTCCCACCGGTGGCCTTCCTTCCAACCTGGAGGAAACGTGGCCATGGGCAGTTCCTAAGGGTTATAAATCATAGCTTTTGCTACAAGCAAGAGGCTGGTTTGTTTTTACACCTCCTTCTACTTTGAAATAAAGTAACCAAGTGTTGTTTTCGCTGGGCCTAGAACTGTATAATCCCTGATCCAATCACCTGTGCTCTGTCCCGGGTCTCATGGGTAGCAATGATAGAGTCTCCAATTCCATGACTACAAGAGTGAGAGAGGATCTCATTTTAGAGGGGTAGATGCTGCTCCCCTGGGTGGGAGAAGGTAGGGGAGTATTGTGCCAACCAATATATCTGAACTGGAAGAATTATCCATTTTCTGAATGCAACAAGAAGGACAGGTAGGTTAATGCAGGGCAGAACGGGTTCCCTGAAAATAATCCCTGTCAAGTAAGATCATGTCAAGATAGGAGTGCTTGGTGGGAGAAGTGGGAATGAAAAAGGCTGGGGTATCTTTCTGACTGACATAATTAATTTCATTTAGTGCAGACTAATGGTACAACTTTTTAAAAATGTTTTCCATACAGAGGGGAAAGCCACCTTTAAATTTGACTTTACTCAAGTATACAGGGAGAAATCTTTTTAAAGATACTGTGTTAATTCTTTGAGAATGTCATCAGTCGTTGTATTTTTATCAGCTTAACTGCCAACTCCTTCCCCTAACCTCCTCCCAGATCCACCCCATCCCAAACCCCAATAACCCATTGACTCCCAATATGTGCTGTCCATGTATTCCTATGTGGGGGACCATCTTGTGGACTACGGTGAAATGCCCTTAAGAAAACAGACTATCCCTCCCCCAGAAGACATTAGCTATCCTAGCCCCTCAGTTAAAGGTAGGAGCACAATGAAAATCTTACACAAAACCGCAGGAAGGAGATACAGATATGTGCAAGCACCTGGGAGCTTGCCATAGGGGAATTTGTCTATGATACTCATTCTCTGGCCCCTGGGATCAGGATTGGGATCAGTCATTCACATGTTGGTAACTGCTTGAGATTTCTGCTGAACAGATGTTTTAACTGTTAGAATCATTGTATCACGTTTCCTCTTCCTTTATTCCTTCCCAACCTGATTTCCCTCTCTTTTTCTTTTTCTTTCTTTCTTTTTTTTTTTGACAGAGTCTCACACAGCCCAGGCTGGTCTCACACTCATTATGTATCTAAGACTGCTCTTGAAATCCGGATCCTCCTGCCTCTACCTCCTCAGTGCTTAGATTATATGCATGTACCACCATGTCTGGCTCTCCTATCCTGATTTAAACTGAACTAAACAATTCTTAGATCATCAAAGTCAAAATTCTCTTTAATGAGCCTCAGGAGGCCAACCTCTCTGGACTATAGACATGGCTGTAAACTTCTCTTGAGTAAAGCCAACAAAATACCAGCAGGAATGAAAGGGTATGAGGTCTGGGGATTTTCCTCCCTGGCACATGCCATGGCTCATCTCGGACTGGTTACCCTCTCTCAGTCAAGGGACATAGCACTCTTAAGGAGGCCATCTCCATGCAGCCCTGCCGGGATCTAATCTGAGCTCCCTGCTGGATTTCTCAGGCCTGAAGTGTCATACTTCCACTGGTAGAAGAGAACAACCCTATCCCTTGTGATTTCCCTTTCTCTCTCAGACATCCCAGAAGGGGACTTTCATGAAATCCTCTTAGAATTGTCCTAACCCTAATGTGCCTTTTGTCCCTTAGCCCCTACCTGACATAAGCACTGTGAATAAACTCGAATAGATAACATTAGCTACTAAAGGAGAATTGGAGAGCATTCTTGACTCAAACTCCTCCTCTTTATTAATTTAACAATAACGCAGGCCTTACATACGAAGCTGTGCCACCTTGTATATGCCATGTAGTTGCCTAGGCAGATAACAGAAGGATAATGCAGATAACTCCAGGGATAACAGGGTGAAGCCCACTCATCTGAAGCTTTGGTCCGAATTCGGATGAAATGTGGTTGAGAATATAAACTTTAAAGCCAGATGAATCTGGGCATCCATTCCTAGTTCTGTTACTTCTGGGCTTCCACCTCTGTTTTCCCATCTGTGGGACAGACATAACTGTGAGAGTCCCCTCAAAGATCTACTGAAAGATGCTGTGAGGTAAATACATGCTTGTCACAGTCCCTGACACAGATTATGGTCAGCAAAAAGCAACTATTATTTGGGCAATGATTATTATCTATGTTTAAGTCCACTGAAACCAGAAATTATAACTAAGCATTTTAGACCGTCATGGGGATAAAACCCTGTCTTGCTTCCGTTTCTGTTAAATTTTTGAAGTTTATTATTTTTACTACATCGATTCCAGTGTATACATTTGTGCACACAAACATGCAAGTGTGTGCCACAGCACTCACATGGAGGCAGAGGAAGTTTGGAAACTGGTTCTTTCCTTCCTTGGGGGTCTCAGGGGTGAACTCAACTCACTGGACCTGTCAGCAAGCACCAGTACCTTCTAAACTCTCTGGCTGGCCCCAGTCTTGCTTCTATGTCACTGGAGAGAGTTGCAGGTATGCCTTACCTGTTTTCCAGTGGATTAGAATCCAGGGGACCCATGTGTCTGGAACAAATGAGAGGTGTCTTGTACCGCGGGTGAGAGAGGGGGAAGAGAACCTGGAAAATACATTTGAGCCAGAATTGAAACTTGAGTAGACATTTCTTAACTGAACAGATGGGGAATGGTTCTCCACATGAAAGAGTGGACAAGGCTCAAGGCACATAAACATCTTTACATGACAGACGGAGCCCGTGTGACTGGAGCAGCATGCTCGCAGGGAGCTATGATGGCTGGACCGAGGCCACAGGACCGGTAGACGTACAACTACAGACCCCATACGGGAAATACCGTTTTAAGATCTGGATTTTTCCTAGCAAGTTCTCTGGCTGCAGTATGGTGGACCAGAGCGGCGTTGGAGTGGTGTAAACACTGAGGAGCAGCCACCAGCACTAACGACTGATGAGGAAGAGCTTGTGGTGGGAACCTCAGCAGAACTCACTGACTCGCTAGGCAGCCTGGGAAATTCAGAGCTTATTATCCCTTCGTCCTCTCAGAAAAGCCTGGCATGAATGCGGACTTCTATGTTCCTTAGCTGTAGTTCACCCTGATTACTAAGGGGTTAACGCTTCAGTATTATTTTTATGAACCTATAAGGTAGTTGGACTTGGTTAGAAATGACTTCTAAAGAAATTCCATGTGTATTTCCAGGTCCCACTAAACATTTTCCTGTGGCCACTGTTAATCACATTTTGAAAGATGTGCTAACTGCCTATCTACAAGAAGCAGAATATGACCCGGAGTTCTGCAGACAGATGACTAAAACAATTTCTGAGGTACAGTGCAATTTGCCCAGTGTCAGCTATAACCACAATATTTTCTGAAAGACAGCCCACTTTCTTCTTTGTGATGAAGGAATACATTTTTGAGATCAGTTAAATGGTATACATATGTTTTATGAGAATAGGTATTAGATCAGATTAGGTCATAGGTACATGTGTAGATGAGCTTTTGTCTAAAACCATCATTATGTATGTAATTTGTAACCAATTTGCTGCTTTACAAAACTGTTCCATTTCTATAAAAAAGATTTATATTTTTATCTATTTATTTATTTGTGTTTGTGTGTGCATGCGTGTGCGAGCCTGCATGTGTGTGCATGTGCATATGACATGTGTGCAAAGTCTGGAGGAGGCGAGAAGAGGGCCTCAGATCTCCTAGAGTTGAAGTTACAAGCAGTTATGACCAGCCTGATGCGAGTGCTGGGAACCCAACTGCAGGAGCAGAAACGGCTTGTTACTGCTGAGCCGTCTCTCCAGTTTCATGCCACTTAGAAATAAAAGTCTGCATATTTGTTTAATGTGTATTGTGGTAAGTGTGCATGTTTGTGTGTGTGACCTTAGGCATGGACACGACCCACTGCACATGTAGAGGTCAGAGGTAAACCTTGGGTGACAGTCTTCACTGTCCACCCTGTTTGTTGTTTACTACAGCATAAGCCAAGTTAGCTGGGATGGGCCTGCCTCTACCCCCCATCTCCCTGTGGCTATGCTGTAATCATAAATGCCCAGTATCATCACTGACTTTCACTTGGGTGTTGGGGTCTTGAACTCAGGTCTTTACACTTGTACAAGTGCTTTACCATGAGCCATCACCTCAACCAAAATCTGATTCACCTTTAGAACTTATTTTTGGAAAATATGCATTTTAAAGACTGTTTTCTCCTTGCTACAGTGACTTCTTTGAGTGCTATCAATTATACATATGATGGCCTTTAAATACATTTCTATTTTTATCAACTACAATGAATTTTATGATAGCGTCTTCTGCTCTGGTTTTTATAACAAACTCTGGGATGAATATTCAATTCTATTATGCTGCAAGAGATTTCAGAATATGTTTCCCTCATTAGATATGAAAACACAAAATAACCCTGGTTGCAACAGTCTTTAAAGTGTGTCCATCTTTGAATATAGATTTTCATAGGGTATAATAGTCCCTTCAATTCTGTTCTGCAGATGACTAGTTTTCTGTATAATTTAGAAAATATCAGCTTATTGCTAATGTTGTTATTTTGCTCCTGGATTCCTGTCCCCATGAGGATAGTACTTGAAAAAAGGTTTACGTGTGGGTTTGTTTGATGCTGAAAATATCAATAATGCACCACACTATTTTTTAAAACTCTTAAATATATTTTGAAGTTAGCCTACAAAGTGATGAGTTTCATTATGGCTTTTTCACACACATATGTCACTACACTCCCCTCTCCCATTGTGCTCCCAATCCTCTCTGCTTTCCTCCTCTTGGTCCCCTCCATCATTCCCAAATTATCCTTTCATGTTTAACAATTTTGAGATTTTATGTGACTAAAAATCTCCCCTTTTTTGTACAATTTCTAGGTTATTAAAGCCCAGGTCAAAGAATTAATGATTCCCCGGTACAAACTAATTGTGACCGTTTACATCGGACAACGAGATTGTCAGAGCATACTTATTGGCAGCAGATGCCTCTGGAATCCTAAAAGTGACACCGTCTCATCCTATGTTTTCAGAAATTCTACTCTCTTTGCGCTTGCAAATGTCTATGCAGTTTACTTCGAATGACTGAAAACGAGAAGTTACAGTCTTGGCATTTTAAAATCATGAAACAGGCTGTGTCTGTGTGTCCACTAACATTTTACTGGAAAAACCTGTGAGAAAGAAACAAGATGAACAACTGGAAGTTTCCATCACTCTTGTGAGGACTGGTGGAGGGGAGGGGAGCCCAAGAGAGAACCTTATTTCTCCAAAACAGAAGAGGACCATGGTTCACATAAACATGGATGCTGACTAAATATTACTTTGGGTATTAATTATTTTGATTTCTCTTTTAGTCAGAGAGATAGAATTCCCTGGACTGATTTTTGATAAAATTCTAGAAATATTTGGTAACATAATATGGACATATATCATATAGGACAGGATAATTCAACATGGCACACCAAAATGATGAATGTAATATACTTCAGTACTGCATATAAAATAATACTGGTTTTCATTTTACATTTAATAAACTGAGCAGCATTTACTAACTGCAATTACTGTTACATGTACTTGACAGCTGAAAGTGCTGAGGTAGAATTAATGATTTCATAATAATTACCATAGTCCCATGGGGCCACCAACTAAATCTAGACACTCCTGTGGGTTGCCTGCACTTTGCAAAATTACAGGAGAACTGAACATTGGCTCTTCAATAATGGAAACTATAAAGTGAATACAGGCTTTTAAGCACACTAAAGTAGACATTATGCTATTAAATATACATGATGCTTAATAGTAAATGTGTCTGTAGCACCTAAGATCTTGCATTGGAAAGAGACACTACCTTTAAGTACACACTGCCCATGTGACTTTGAGTAGCTTTAGCTGGCCTAACTTTTACCCAGAATTCGAAGCTGGCAGCTTAACAAATAAAACGTGTGTTTGCCATTTTGTTCCTGTGACTTTAGCACTAAAGTGGCCCAGTGAGGTTTCTGGATGTATGGACATTGAAGTTTACAGGGCTAAGATAGCTCTTCTGCTGGTTAATGCCTCTTGTAGCACAGATCGTTTATTTTTATGGAGCTTTCAAGTCTTTGTGTGCATGTTAAATGACGCTGTGGCATTGCTCTAGGATGGTAAGTCATCTGCCTAGAGGACATTTGTTAAAGGTCAAACACAAATTGCTCACATATGGAGAGAATTAGCAGTGTTACACTCTTAAGGGGGAAATTATGTATAATTCGTATCAGAAAGTTTTTAGTGAATGGAAAACCCAGTCAATGCTTCATGATTTGAAAATGTTTTGACGTCTTACTTTTCCCTAAAACCAAATGTAATTTTAAAACGCGTTCCTAGGTTTTTTTCTGATAGTGTTTTAGGGGGCCTATGAAGAATAATGACCCCCAGGACTTGCCTGTCTGCAAACACCAGTCTAGAATCTGGATTTGATTATCAGAAGAATCAGGGAATGTCACAGTATGCTTTTGTCAACTGTTTCTTTCTCAGACAAAGGCCGTGAAATCACACAGCAGCTTGGTACGAATGATTCAGATGAAGAAAGAGCTTTGCCATATAGAAAGTCTGCAGCCAAATTCTGGGGTTCTAATTTCTAGTCAGTAGAATAATTTCTCACCATCCATCCCAGGTTGTATGGGCAACTAAAACCTTAAAATACAAAGGCTGTTAAAAAAAGAAACAATGGAAAGGTAGTTTTCAGGCCTATGCCATGTGCTGTAATCCACATCAGTTCAGCGATGAGCTCTAGCAGGCACAGCAGCATAGAAATACAGGGTAAGGATTCACTCAGAATAATGGATTTTTCAGGAGAGTGTCAGTCAACACACAAAGCCTCGAGATGGGAAATTTTTAAAGAAACACTACTTTAAGTCTGAAGAAGTCACATTATTTTGCAAGCTTCCCCTCCCCAAATGTTGGCCTTCTTCAGTCCACTGTAGAACATACTGTCTCTGTCTTCTTTTCAGCAAGTCTCACCTTCCCCTCAGGTCCTTCTCTATCCATCTCCTGCCTCCCACTCGGATCACTTTCAGTCAATCCTGCCACTATTCTCCAGATTCTATGTTTTTTTCCCTCCCCTTACCTGCTTGAAGATACTGAGGGCGCAGACCACCTAACAAGGAAATCTAATTCTTACAAGCAAGACTCTTGTGCACTGTGCTAAACTCCCACTGTCCAGAAAATGGCAATACACATCTCAACCCCTGAGAACTAGCATCCTATCAAAATGACATCAGGACACATCTGTGACCCCAGAACTCCAGAAGTGGTGATAGGTAGATCACTATATGATTGCAACACAGATTAGAACATGTTATTACAAGAAAATTCCAGAACATCTTTATCCAATGAAGGAACTTGTGGAAGGCTTTGTGAAAGGAAACAACAACTTCCTACAGACTGCGATGGAGAATTTCAAAAGATGGAAGGCTAGAGGAAGAAATTGACAAGGGATAAGAGGTCACACAAAGATTGGAGGGTGCGTGATAGCTATCTGCTAAGGAAGTGCGCTCAGACCACGAGGATCCATTAAAAGTTTTTATCTAAGTGAATAGCATGAAGTGAAGTGACTCTAAGAAGCTATGTCATATGGGACATTGCAGGAACAAGGTCTACAGGATTAGGCAAAAGGAGGCTAAAGCAATACACAGAATGGTTGAAGTTTCAAGTCCTGGGTGCCTGGATGCCATCGTCACAGTCACCTTAAAAACATTACTGATTTTACAAAGTAGCAGCATTGCCTTGATGCGGTAATGAAATGCTGGTGCCATGGCACAGGGTTTTGTAGGGTTACCTGATGCTTGCTGACCGTTATCAGCTTAATGTCTAAGAGAAGTGCTTGTGGTATGCAGCCCAAAGTCTGAGCGCCTGCAGCAAAATGCATGATCCTGTCCGAAGGAATGAGACATCAGTGAAAAGAGTTTGAGGAATAAAAAATTGAGTTTGAGTCTGCACCCTAGGTTAAGTTGATCATGGGACATTTGGGCCACAGGCAGCTGAAAGCTGAGCCATGACGTCAAGGGAAGAAATTTAGACTTGGCAGCTATCCAAAATGAGACCTCACTTCTTCTCCCTTCTGCCTTATAAAATATACATCAGCCAGTAAGTATAATCAGTACAAAACAGCCAATAACCGGCTCTAGGAACCCAGCCAGAAACCACCTCCCCAAACCAATGGGGCTCTATCGGTTATATGCTGCCTTTTTTCTTTTTTTTTCTATTTTCTTCATTAAAACAATTTCCTGTATTGTCCCTTTCTGTTGTCAGACACAAGAAATGTAGTTTCTTTCAAAAATGTGAGCTAGCACCCCAGTGCGTGTTATCAACTGAAGTCATTGTTAATTGGGTGATTCCAGAAAGCACATAGTAGGAGGTCAGAGTGGAACAGATGGTGGGTTCAGAATTGAAGCACTAAATGAAAAAGTTTCATTTTCACTGAAAAGGGATTCATTTAGGTGTGGAGAATTAGTGTATGGGAGTGTTTTTTTTAATGTCAACAAATCAGACATTTATAACTTAACAACCTTAAAGAATGAGCATTCTCCTTCTTGGGAGCATCATCTGACCTGTCTTTCTGGCTGCTATAAAAAAAATAGATAAGAAAACTCAAAGTCAGTTACTTAGTTTTCTTCCCTAGTCTCTCTGATGCTTTCACAGTCAGAGATCTGGTTCTCACCCACCGATCTGGGGCTTTCATGAGCTCTGCAAGTGCTCTCTCAAGCCAAATGTGCAGACCACGCCACCGGCATGGCATCTCAGCACTTCTAAAATCCTTTCTTCTGAGGAGTCTTGTAATGTAGTTTAGGGGAAGAGGTGGTGCTTCTTTCCCTCCCTCCCTCCATCCCTCCCTACCTCCCTCCCTCCTCTCTCCCTCTCTCCCTCTCCCTCTCCCTCTCCCTCTCCCTCTCTCTCAGCATAGGTTTGAAGACAAACCTCTTCTAAGGCTTCTAACCCTTAACAGTTATGTGAGTGTGGCAAGCACCTAACACCTTCAGCCGGTTTCCTGAAAAGTAAACTGGACCGTGAGTGTGTTCTCATGAAGACTGGACAGACAGTGTACACAAAATAGCCAAACCAGAGCTGAAGAGATAGCTCAGTGGTTAGGAGCACTACAGATGACCTGAGTTTTATCCCCCACACCCCTATAGCAGGTAATAGTTGTCTATAACCACAGTTCTCGGAGATTCAGCGCCCTCTTCTGGCACCCTTGGGCACCAGGTACCCATGGTGCACAGACACACATACAGACAAAATATCAATGCACATAAAACATTTTTTTTTAATTTTTGGGAAAGATAGTTGCGGCAAGCAGGGAGTGATAGGGTACACCTGTAATCCAAACATTTGGGAGGTAAAGGCAGAAGGGTTGGGAGTTCAAGACCAGCCTCAGTTATACCAGAAGAGGAAGTCAACCCAAGCCACATGAGACCCTGTCTCAAATAGTAGTAGGAGTAGTAATACAGTAATAATAGTAATAATTGAGCAAATAAATAAAAATTTACCTTATTAAAGAAATTTCCTCTCAACCTCTAATTTTCACAACATGCATTTGCTAAAGCATATCTAGGTGTGCTGGAGCAAGTCTGTAATCCCAATACTCTAAGGGCTGAGGCTGGGGAATCTGGAGTACCAGGCTAGCTTCGCTGCATAATTAGGTCCTGTCTCAAAACACCAAGGGCTGGGGATATAGTTCAGTCACTGTGGATCACTTGTTTATAATCCCAAGGCCCTGAATTTAATACTTGCACTGTGAAAAGGAAAAAGAAAGGTGGAATTGAACAGATATTTTTGCAATTACTTATCATTGTAACATACCTGTGGTTATTTTCCTAAAATTTTCGAACCACCATCTTTAAATAACAGTTTTCTTTCAAATCCATGATTTTCTCAGCATTACCTGTTCCCAACTTCTGCCTCTATTGCTGATTTCTCTCTGTGCTATGCAGTGGGCTGGAGCCTGCATCAGGATTTTTCCTGGTTCTCGGCAGTGATGTGGCTTAGCCCTGCCCATTCCTTGCTGCCTTCAATCCCATTTGGATTTGTCAGCTCATTCATAAATGAACACAAACTTACAGAGAGTGAACTGAAACCTAAGTATGTTGAAAATCTCTCGAGTTTGTGGTAGCTTTCAGCTTCTTTCCACGACTTCTCAACTGTGCTATATATATTTTTTCTTTTAAATGCAGGCTCTAACTTGAAACCTGTGGTTCTCCATCCATCACCAAGCCATTTCCCTACCTACCAAGTGAAGAAACCAGTATAACCAGTATGGGGAGACCCAGGTTTTCCTTCGAACGCACTTGAGATAATAACCAACAGATGATGTTTCCAACAAATGACAATGGCGGATCATCCAACTACCAAACACACCATATAATTAGTCCCATTTTGCTTAATGGATGCTGAGAAATCACTTTATAAATTAATCTGAGATAAATCATTTTGAAAGTAAAGAAAAATATAAGGTGTACTTCTTAACTAATTATACAAATATATTCTCTTTAGTTCAGTTTAGTTCGATAGTATCGATTTAAAATTGCTTTGAAACATAGCTAAAGTACTTGCTTGCATCTCCGTTTACAAGCACAAGTGAAAGACATGTAAGGATCCACTCATTTAATGAAGTAGAGGTCGGTATTTAAGATGAAACGTTACCTCATGACTCAGCCTGAGAGCAGATTCATCTAAGGATATTATTAGGAAGTAATGACAAGTGTTTAAAAAAAATGATTGGTAACAGGCACCAGAAATTTCATTCGCAAAAAGCTCTGACTCTTTAGTTGGACCTAGTGATGCCAAGTGGGTGATAAAGCAAGAGAAAACTCTCTTTGGTTTAAAATTTGGAGTCAGACTCATGCCCATTCTCCACCTAGGCACGTTAATCATTCAGTGAGCACCTCAAAGCCAGTGACCTATATTTGCCTGTTTCATTCTCCTTCAAGACTAAAGGCACAGAGGTAAGAGTAGGACATGGGAGGGGACTATCAGATGGCCGGTTTCCAAGGTCCTGCCCAAGACCAATTGAGCTGAACCCCGGCCCAGTTGCAACTCTTAGTCACGGTTGTCCTATTGCTTCAGAAGCAAAGGGAGGAAAGTCAAGTGTGTCGTTTCTGTCTCCTTTGAACTATTTGCAGTTCCTAATCTTATACACATCCTATCTTTTTTTTCCCCTAAAAGTAGCATCCACAGGATTTAAGAGACTAGGCCCCAATTTTCTTCTTTTTGTTTCTATATTCTTAAAAAATATGTATTTATAAAAAAGGAATAAAAAGAACAAAAAGAAAAATATTATGTATTTATAATACCTAAGTTATAAAGTTTGTGATAAATATTT